AGGTAAAATAGTCCAGAGGGCACCAATTTCCTTAAGATTCCAGGTTTACTTTGATGAAGATTGCCAAAAAGCAAGGGTCAAATGCGACCATTTACAACCATCAGCATAAAATACTATCATTGTCATTCTGTCTCACACAGATGGAAGATATTCAATTATAAAGGACCAAAGTTGAATGTACTGGAAACACTCATGCAGTTTAATCCAATTTAGAGATTATTTACATTACAAACTGGTGTCAGTTAAAGCATATTTCAAAACCAAGCTTCATTCGATGTCTGTTTTGTATTAACTGATGACTGTTCAGCAGTGCTCAAGTATGACATTATACTAGATGGAACTCAGCTATCGTAAGCACTTGTGTGTAGACTGATGAAGTATAGACCGGTAAGTTTGAGTGGAACGTGTTCAATTAGTGGTTTCATTTAGATTTCAGTATACAGTGACCATCAACAAATGTCAATAACGGGAAACTGTTCCATATTTGCAGAGTCTAAAACCGAGAAAGCATAAGGCTTCCCTGGAACCCTGAGGTGGGGTACTTCTATGCTCATAACTCGTGATGCTCATCTAACTCTATTCGTCTGCAGTCAGCGAAAGGCTGAATTTTGGGCAAAACATTTCTCGTAGTAGGTGTTCTTGTTTCATTAAGTAGTATTAAGCTGTTTATCTACAAACAATCGACCACCTAAATATTTTACTTTATCAGAAATGAACGCTGATCAATGTGCAATGATGCAGAATATTCTTAGCAGTCACATGCAATCATCAGTACAATTAGTATCCAATAGTTTTTATTTATTGTAATTTATTCGTATTTGTGAAACTACTGATGATGATAGAGAGTAATATGATAATATTAAAGTGAGATGTTTTGTTCGTAAGTAAATGAAAATTTTGATTACAATGTTATCAATTCATAGACTATTCTAGGCTAATCTAGTACAGCAGTTGTGTAGTGATACTTAATTAATCAATTAATTACCTACTTATGCCAGTTACTCCAAAATGGAGAATAGGCTGTCGACAACCATTCTACAACCCACTCTGTCCAGGGCCTTCCTTTATGGTTCTATCCAATTTTCGTTTATTCTTCTCATATCTGTCTCCATTATCTGTGTAATGTGTTTTTTGGCTTGCGTTGTGACACAGTTGGGTGTTTTCCTCAATATATGTCCTGCCCACTTCCAGCGCTTCTTCCTGATTTTTCCTCATCTGCGGTCTGGTTTGTTCTCTGCCATAGTAGGTTGTTGCTAATAGTGTCTGGCTAACGGATCCAAAGTATTTTGTGTAGATAACAGTTAATAAGCACTTGTATCTTCTGGATGATGGCTTTCGTAGTTCTTCAGGTTTCCGCCCCATAGAGTAGAGCTGTCTTGACATTTGTATTAAAAATTCTGACTCTGGTTTTGATTGACAGTTGTTTTGAGTTGCAGATGTTCTTCAGTTGTGAATATGCTGCTCTTAATTTGCCGATCCGCGCCTTCACATCTGCATCAGATCCAGCGTAGTCATCAATGATGCTGCTCAAATATGTAAGGTTTTTTTATATCTTCCGAATATTTTCCGGAAATTGTGATTGGATTGCTGCATGCTGTGTTGTATCGGAGAATCTTGCTTTTCCCTTTGTGTATGTTGAGACCCACTACTGCTGAGGCTGCTGATATATTGGTCGTTCTCCTTCGCATTTGTTGCTGAGCGTGTGATAGATGAGACAGATCATCTGCAATGTCTAGATTGTCCATATGCATCCTGTCCGTCCACTGTATCCCATGCTTCCCTTCAGAAGTTGACATCCTCATGATCCAGTCGATCGACAGGAGAAAAAGAAAGATTGAGAGTAAGCAACCTTGACTGACACCTGTTTTTACTTCGAGCAAGTCTGTCAACTGTCCTCCACACACGATTTTGCAGTTAAGTCCATCATAAAAATTCCGCCATTTTTGCTTAATCTTGCACATGTTTGCGTTTGTCAGTTCTGATGCTCCTATTCACTCGCTTGTCTACTTCCGTGTATCCAGCCCGTTCCTTGACTTTCTCTGCTCTTGTTCGGCTGGTATTGATTGCTGTCCTCATGTTCCACCTTTCTTGAATCATATCCAGTGGATCAACAGTGACCCGTTCCTTGTGGTGGTGCCTCTTGTGGCCGAGAACCTCATGACATGTTGAAGTGATTGCCTTTTTCGTCCCTCTCCATTGAGTAGATCATGAAAGGCCTGGAACTTATTGTTGTGGACTATATTGATCTGATGCTATATCAGCTTCTCTCTTGGTTCTCACGTCCTCCATTGTCCTTCAGAACATTTTATTGATGCAGATATGGTCGATTTGGTTCTGCGTGGTGGAATCCGGTGAAGTCCATATGGATTTGTGTATGCGATTATGTGGGAATATGGTGCGGCAAGTGACCAGTTTATTGAAAGCACATAGGTTTGCAAATCTCTCAAGTAGTTATGGAAGTCCATGTCTCGTATCACAACTATTACTAACATTTAGTGATGTTAATAATCACAATTTCTTTGAGCAGACTCACAGCCTATTCATTCGTAAACATTTATTGTACCAAAATGTTCTCAATGGTTATTTGGTTCATCCATACGAGGACATATCTGCTCAGATCTTGAGTTAGTACGAAAATCAAGATATTTTCTATTTTTCAAGATAGTTCAAACCACGAACTGATTTTAGCTAAACAACCATTAGAAACCAGGAATTACACCTGACAGATGAAAAGCAATATTGCAAATTGAGCGAAGTCACTAACATGAATTGATGGGTGTTAAGTCCCATGTATAAAAACTTCAATGTGTATTATGCAATAGGCTCGATCTGTGGCATACCACCGTGAGTACGTTGCTGAGGAGTTCCGCACTCAGACCAAACATTCATCACGTGCTCAACATTTTGGTAATCAGAATGTTGAAATCAGTCCCTGATATATGCTCTCTAGGTAGAGGATGATAAATCATGGGTGGAAATGAATGAATAGTTTGAAACGTTTGCGAGTTCATTTAGACCGCGAACGGAACAAATACTCGGTGACCAAAACCAATAAGCTAGCCATTCAATCCGTCTCAGCCTCTCTAACTAAAGGAAGAATTCCAAGCTTATTATGGGGAATTATATTTTTCAAACTGTCAGAAACGAGCGATAACAACAAACACAAATCAAAACGTATATTTACAAGACAAAATCGTTCTTGAGAAGGGTTACAAAATAGCATAGTAAAAGACGGATCGATTGCATTCAAGATTCTCCCTCGTAGAAAACACGACATTAAGGTGAAAAGCACGCTTTTTGAGTGATAACAAATAAATGAAAATTTTCTAAATGAAATTACAAGACTTAGTCGTTTTCCAAGTGAGTTCTGGTGAACTAACGTCACTAACAACTTTATCGAATGTCATGCTATCCGACTCTCACAGGAGGAAGTCATAAATTATTCAAGTTTCATATTACTTGGAACTCATCTTAAAAAAATGTGGGAACAAACGCCAATCGCTAAATTTGTTTTAATAACACACCACAACCCCTATGCACTTAATATCAGCTCCTAAGTCTAGATTTAAGTAATTTAAAAACTGACTATCGAGCAAATTAGGCATATAACTTAGCTGCTTATCAAAGTGTAGTAAGGAGTATAACATTTGTAATCGATTATTTCATTCAACCTGAATGTGATTGATCAGTTTGATGACTAATAAAATAGACAGTGAGATAAAACATAAACGCTGTTACAGCTTAGTTCAAGCCTCTATAGCTATGTACAGAGAAAATCATAGGAAAAAATGAATCCATGATCTACAAATTTTCTAAAGAACGAAAAATTATAATTGACCACTAAATGGAAAGATTATTTTTTTATTAACTTCTGTCAGTTTTCAAACTGTCCTTGTTATCAAACAGAAGTTACTTTCACTATCTAAATAATAATAGGCAATACGCACAGTATTTACATATACTATTAAAAAAGAGTCTGATCCATTGCATTCTTAAACCTGAATGGGATGATACAAGCCAAACAATACCAAGTAAATATAAACTTCACCTCGTTGCACAAGCAAGTGTTAATCAGATCTCATGGGAAGATCCGAATAAACAACAATGCCGAATGTACTGAAATGAATCTTATTAAACCCTTCATTCATATGAAAGAATCTGTAGTGAACCGATTATGTGAATTGAGAATTTCATTTACATATATTATGTAATCCATTTTGTTTTAATATTTCATCAATATCGAATCAACCAATCAGAATAGAATAAATGAAAAATATCCTGTTGTATCGAACAAACCAATCAAGATAGAAGTTTAAAACGTTCTGTTCTATCAAATCAGCCAATCAGAATAGAACAAAAAGAATTCCGTACATTTTCTTTAATATCATATAAATGAAATACATTTCGAATAGTTATTCATCTGTTGTTCAATATTACCAGGTTTTTATTGATAATCTAAGATTGATTGATCCATTTATGATCTCAATCAAGAGAACAACATCAACAACAACAACAAAATAGTAATAATAATCTCCATAATGAACATTCCCATTTTGATATTTGGTAAATGATGAAGGAATGAATCGAATGAAGAGATTTCTTTTCAATTAGTCTTTTTTTCTTTCATCACTGCTCTATATCTGATTTACAATAATGAAATAATACTCATCCAGTAGACACATTACATAATAATGAAGTATCGATTCGAAATTAATATTGAGTAGTTGGAAGAAAGAGAAAATAATAATAATCAAAGTAATGATTCGAATGTCAAGTAGTTGCTGTGTTGCATCATTCTATAGTCCTTTCACTGATAGTTATTATTCACTTGAAAATAAACTATCTACACGTAACATCTAATGTCCTATGGTCATATGTAGTAGTACACAGTAGAACAATTGCAAACGATAGCTTAAATGACTTCACTGAACAGTGTTCCATTAATTGACATCAATAACTCTATCTATTCTTAATGATACAAAATAGACAAGTAATGAATAATGAATGAAAGTCATGAATTAACTCGTATGATTCGTACAACTATTGATTCGAATAATTGTCAATTACAATCAAGTAATTTAACTGTATTGTGTTTATGTATTGTATTAATTATATTAACATGGTTAACTAATTGTATTCTACTTGGTGGGATATTACAAACAAAAGGAAATGGTAAACGTGTATCTATAGTTTATTATTTTATTGGATCACAAGCAATAGCTTCTTTATTACATGTAACAATAAGTTTTCCACCAGCAATTGTGAATACGCTATTTGACAAGTAATTTTTAATGATGATGATGATGCTGCTTTGGATGATGATTTGGATGACGATGATGATGATTATGATTTGTTCGATGATGAGAATTATAATACTAATGAAAAGAGTAATAATGGTACTACGATTACTACCAATATTTCCATTAATTTGTTAAAGTAGAATATTTTCTTAATCTGATGAGGTTCTTGTGTTTGTTGGATTTAAGCAATCAGTATGTGCATTCTGTTTAACTGATACACTTGTCAGATAAATGTATCAGTTATCTTGTGAAAACTTATAGTTGATGTATAATCTGAATATGAATCAGCTAGTTTGACAATTGGAGATGCTAATACTGAACTATTTGGGGGTTATTATTAATCTGTTTTAACGCAGGAAGGTTTCTAGTCTTCTGTTACTGAGTAGTCGTTGATACCATGTTAAAGCATCTTGTTATTTGAGTCTAATCACCCAAAGTCAATAAAGTGTTCTTCATTGAAATCATGAATTGATTGATATTAGACCAGAATTGAAAACCTGAAAGCAACCGAAGGACAATATTTTCTTGTTTGAGACCCTTCAGCATTGTACATTCATGATCGTGCTTGCGGGATTCGAACCCAGGACCTTCGGTCACGTGTGCAAATATTAATCTCATTCAATTTGTGTGAGGGCTGTGTTACTGCTCGGGTCTGCAGATCGAAGCAGGTGGTTTTTTTAGAGGGCCATATCCGGAGTTTTTGACCTAGAGTTCTAATCCATAAGGAAGTGGAGTAGCGTAAAGAGATGCAGTCCTGTGGTGGCCGGTAACCAACAATAGGTTCATGCGCCATTTGTTTCCTTCACGATCCTGAAGTACATGTGCACCATACGTTTGGAATCAAGATTTTCCAACTTTGCTAGGTAGTTCCTCGATATCCACCGACATGGTTAAACCGCCGGACATTCGCTTTTCGTTCTCCGAATTTCCTAATCAACATCCTTGCTGTGAGAAGGCAGTGAGTAGGACTTCATTAACAGTGGTTGTATTCACGTGTTCATGTGAGAGAATTTGGAGAGGAAGAGTTGACTCTCCCACTGTCAGCCGTACCAGGTTATTTCGGGGCAGTGTGACAAATAAAGTTTCCATTGGCAGACAAGATAAAATTAATCTTCTCAAACACCCCGGTTTTCCGGCTTTGACATGAAAGTTTTATTTTTTTAAAAATATATATAGATCGTAGAAACTATTACTATGTATAGAGGACATAGTGTGGTGAAGGAGAAAACAAATGGAGACAATCTATAATATTTGGCACAATATTACACAGTTAATTGGTAAATTAGGAAACCATACTCTAATATTCCATTTACAATATATTCATTAATTGTCTCAGATTTCATTGTTCCTGCACTTCTGCACTAATCGCTTTCTGTTCTCGTTCTTCCCTTCTTCATCTTTTCAATCTTTCGCTACCAAACATTCTATTCTGATACTACTAATGTCGATATAAATAGCATACACCACAATAGTTTACTCCAAATACTCGAATACATACACATTCTCTTTGGTAAATAGAAATAAGAAGCTATTTTATTATAGTGTTATGTCTGTACTTCTTGTCAGAGATAAATTGTTGTCTTTTGTCAGAATTATCAAAGATGAAATACAGGGTGCCGAATTAGTAGCATTAGTCATGTTGAAATCTTATTATGTGAACACAAAGTCTTTAAACGTTGGACTTCGTTCACTTTCATACATGAAATCGATTTGTGGTCAGTGGATTCCAAAAATCAACGTGAAAGTCAATAATAACGAATTGCTGAATCTAAACCAAACAACTGGGCGAGAATAATTTCTCTTACGTGATAAAACGTAGATAGCTGCATCTTCTGCCATGATGTCATATACACATGTGATATCTAGAATCAATAATGTAATTAAAAAACTGAATTATTCTTTCACATACATTCGTCGATAATCCCCATTCCAATTGGTTCGGAACGTTTGATTTCATCTAAAATAAAATTGATAATGTAGAGCGAGTCGGTTGAGGAACAACGTGATACCGAGAGAGTGGGTGCGTATACAAACGCCTCAACCACCACATTTGTGAACACTGAAATTTGTGAACTAATTCCATTTCTTAGAATTGTATCAATTGATTAATCATTTCAGCCAAACGCACGCACTTACACACTCCCGTCAAATTCTTACAGCCTATCATGAATGGAACCACTGTGAAGTTCAAGAAGTACCATCAAGCAGGTTCAAATAAACAAACCATATTTTAATCAAGACATTCTCTCCTTAGTTTGAATGACGTAAATGATTTCATGAGTTTGCAAACATAGAGGCAATCACATTTCACAAAGAGACTGAACGTCATAGCATTATTATGGCCTTCCAACTAAATATACTTATGAACGTTTGAGGTTGCATTGGTTGCATTGTTCAAATAACTGGAAATGCTGAACATGAATATACACTTGTTGTGTCCAGTTTGTTGTGACTTTAAGTTTAGTAGTGTAAAAGATTATGACATGTAAGACTGAATAATCGAATTACTTGTCATAGACTTTAACCGTTCTTCGGAATCTGTTATAAGCTTGTCGAGCTCTGTCATCCGTTCTAAAGATTAAACACACACACAGAACAACAATTTGTTTTAATAATAATTTTGTTATTATACACTCAAATTATTTACTTGTGAACGTAATCATCAGTAACATTAAAAGTACGATCTATTTCGATAAATATATATAATAGGAATCACAATACAGGACCTCACACACTTCTCAGCAAATAATTAATCAGCTGACATGATTTTAGCAACACTATGATACATGTACCGAATTCAACTTCTCGGACACAAACGAGTGGATCGAATGTTTCTTCAATGAAGTCGCATGTAACAATGTGTGTTATATGAACACGTTTGATTATATGATACATAGTCTGTAACAATAAATACAATCATTACTTGCCTGTTATTTTAGAAAGTATATTGCTTAAATTCTCAAGTTGTCCATTCTCCACATCTGAAAAAAGAAACAGGATCTGTCACAACAATAAGTGGTTCGGTTGATTTTGAAAAAACTGATGTTCATATTCAAGTACACTGAATCCAATCACTTCAGATATGTCAATGTCAACATTCTAAACACTACTCAATAAGAGTTACGCATAAGTAATCGTCCAAACGATGGTGCTTCATCGTAAATTACTTGCAACTGTTTATCTGTCAACGGATGAACATAAAACCCATTTATTCATGGTAATAATGTTTCACATGGTTTGATCAGCCATTTCAATTGTCATAAACATATTACATTAACAGATGAAATGATATTTATATTGATTACTTTGTGGTTTCAAATGGCAAATTAATGAAATTTTTGCTAACTGAACGTTGGCGATTGTGTTTGCCCTGGTGAACAATTATTACCAATACAATACGGCAGAATCGATACTTCTAAGGAGAACATCAGTGATTCAATATCAACGAATGGCTTTCAACAGAAACAAGCATTTCAATTCAATCAATGTTCTGATCAATTGTTGCCATGTGGTTGAGTTTTCACATGAATTCAAACGGTATACGTTTGTCTAGAACTTATCTTAGCATCATTCAAGAAAAAGGCATAAACCAGGAATTTATTAAACAAACAAACATGATCAAACAGTATGCGAAGTGCAGTAATCCACGTCAACAGCGCACGTTTTACATCGAACTTAAAATGTTATTCAAGACTCATGATGATGGTGATGATGGTGACGATAATGAAAATGACAGTGTTATGATTCTGTTTGTACGGTGGATCAGGCGTATGGTGACGTATATTCCGTGATTTTTTGTAACCAAATTTTTATTCAATATCCGTTGTTTTTCTGTATCACTTATGTTAAAAAAGATGATAACTGTTTTGATAAGAATTGAACACACTTTTTACTACCGCGCTGATTAAAATATAATACATTATCCACGTCGTCTGCCCTTCTGCTTTATTGGCCACAGCCTTTGATCGAAGACTATAATAGTATTATAATATCCTTATAGGCCTCCTTACACTACGTTGGCATTTTGGCGCGGATCACTATAACATAATACTATTGGCCTCTGTCTTCCTAATCACGACGTTGGTGCCATCAGTCGCAGAAAAACCTACGTTAAATCGAGTGGACTTATTTGTGGTTGTCATCCCAGGGAGCAGCTTTCAAGTAACATTCATTCTGTAATAATTGTTATTATCATATTGCTCAATACAACACTTGTATTTATAATTGTAAATTTGTTACCCTTGGTTTTTTTTACCCGTACACAGACACCTAGGGTTTCCACTGTTAACTCTTTTGATTTATTATTATTAGTAACCTAGTGTATTAATATATCTTGTATAAGCTTTTTTGCTGGGAACCACCACAGACGTGAATATCTCAGCATGTATTTTTAAAAGTGCATTTTAAATAATACTGATGACTTACCATTCTGTGTGGATGTATGAAGAAGCAAAAGCAGTGAAGCTACGCGTACCAAAACTAAAGAGACCATATTCATTGAAACTACAGAACTTATTCTACTGCTTATATACTACCATCAAATGTAGTTGTAAGAGGGTGGTGAATATTATTTATCATATAAAAGATCAATCAGTGTAATTCAAATTAAGAAACTATGCAAAAGTCAATGAATGAATAAAGCACAAACTGACACGTTGCACTCTTTTTTTTGACCAACATTAGACTTTTTAAATTAATGTTTAACCATCCATATAAACTATGGTTCCAAATCTTAATGACCTCATTAATGAAGTGAGTGCTCTCTGAAGAGAGAAAATATGAAGTGACTTGACCTTTTAAAATAATAAACTAAACTGAAAAACTTTGTTTACTTCCAAATACAAAGGAATTTATCAAAACACTATTCTTTTTATTTCTAACATCGCACAATTTCTAAAAGTAGTATCAAGGTAAATTTGTATCTGAATAATATATTTACTTTGTCTGATGAACAATAAACATTATACGACTATTCATTTCTTTTT